TATACTTCATTGGCAGCATATTCAGTAATAATTTTATCAGATAGCAAATATCACTGATGTTATATACATGCTGATCAATACACATAATCATCCAGATGCGATCTTGCTACTCAACAAACTTTCTGTCACATCTTCCCAGAGAAAAACACTGCTGACTACTCAGCTTCACAAAACATATACATTCGGCTTTCTGCAACCATCAAAGCGTGCTGTTGAGTCATTCCTCCATAGATGGACGCTCACACACTATTTTCACACTAGTCCTGCGGATACATATTAAAAATAAAGATCAACACGAAAAATTCACTATCTTGGGCGGCCAACCAAAAACTTTTCGCTCGTAGAACCTCTGAAAAAGGAGTAAAGACTGTAGTCCCTCCTGAATGACCGATCTCTTGAGGAACTCATATTCGCTGCAGCCAACACGCTCCGTAAAAATGCTAAACACAGAATCTGCTCTGCTAGTTTCATCAAGTTTAACAAAAGGGAATTATATTAAATTACGTTCCAACCATGACATATACCAGTCGCATTTTCGAGGAAATACATACTTGGGCATTTACACCATAATTACTGTGTACTGTTAAAGGGTTAGCTTTAATTGATAAAAATCTACTCAACTGTCCTTAGAAGGGCATTAATTACAATTCAGATTATAATTTTCGAAAAAGGTACATTTCCGGACTTGTGAACAGCTAATTCACGTTTCGCACCATCATACAGCGTACCAAAAAATCCTTGAAACCAGGGAACTACTATGCAAACTAATGAAGGCAAGGCAAATAAAACGTTCCCACAATAAGGGAAGATCTCTAAAGACCGTTCTCACCGAAAGCAGCTGGGGACCGCAGCTTGAGGACAGCCCAACTCGACACATGTTTTCAAATACAATACAAGTGTTCTTACCAAAGCGACCACAAGTTAACCAGTTGCTCAACGGTTGCTGGCACTGTGGCTGCCATTGCGACAATTCAGGTAACTTCCGATCTTCAAAAAACATTGGTAACTTGATAAAAGCAGTCCTCAACGCTTATTTGCCTTCTTTAAAGTGACTACTTGAAGCAGTAGTATTGAAAGCTTCTTAGGGAAGCTACATTTGTTACAAAAAGTGTGACAAGCAAGCTCATCAGTCTCAAGAAATATGTTTGCACACAAAGTATTACCTTTCGAAGATCTTTCAATGCACATGATATTTTTCATGGATTGCGAGTTTTTGGTAAATAAAAAATACCACACGCCATGGCTGGTTGATTTCACTAGATGGACCTCAGTTGGCCACGTGGGTCAGAGAGTCGTGCTACTGATCAGCCGGCCGGCCGGGCCGCGAGTTCGAATCTCGCCTTCGCCATGGATGTTGTATGTTTGTTTTAGGCAACAGCGGTGGCCGCAGTAGTAGACTCTTCGGTCTCCTGATCAGTCGCCGTGCGCTGTGCGGGTTCGAGTCCCGTCCCAGGAAAAATTTTTCTCTTGGCTATGGATGTTGTGATTGTCCGTAGGTGGTAGATGGTCTCTGACTGTCGAAGGCGGAGGTACCACCCGGCGGTTCTCGTAGGCGGAGCCAGAATTTGTGCATGTTGCATGCACACGTGTTCCGTGTGGCGTCCCCCCTTTCCCATGTAACCCCCTATAGCCCCACGGTACCCAATGAGTGCTTAGGCCTTAGGCCTTCGTGGTAGTTGGAGTATAAAAAAAAAGATTATTTTATTAGTGAAATATGTTACTTGTACGATTTTTAGGGTAGCCACGAATACCCGGTTTATACCCGGTACTATTCGGCATACGCGGTCCATTTTACGGAGTACAAGGTTTTGCAGTGTATTAAATTTGATACCCGGCCTGGTAATTACTCGGTTTCAATTCAAGACACACAACTTGCGTAAATCAAAGAATTACAGATGCGATTTGTTAAGTCTGAGCTCATATGATTTTCCAAAACCTGTTTGGCAGTTTCTCCAAGAAATGAATGCTGAATCTCAAAAAAATAGCCGAGGTTACAACAGCATATTTTTATTCATTATTCAATACCTGCTTGAGTGACTTTTTAGTAAATGTCTCCTCTGGTAAGCAAGTGTATTAACGCTATTTGCGTAGCTTCTTTTTTATACAAGTTCTTACTACAATATGTTTCTTCATAAAAAAGAGGGTAGTCCATGGAACAGCAAGTATAACTAGTTAAACTGAAGCACCGCTGTAGTATTGCTTAGTTTCCCTTTTTTGGTCTTTTATCTTTTATCCATATGAACCCTCAAACCACGAAATGAAATTAAATAATGGAGCAAAAGTCAAAAACTAAGTTGAATAATAAGTATTAAACGTTTCTTTCAAGAAAATCTTCAGACGCATCTGAATTTGTCCCGTCACGAAATCCAGCAGTTTCGATGTGTGCTTCTTTTGCAGCTATCTCTCAAAAGCAGGTCAAAAGCTTAGAAGGTTTAGTTGAGTCTAGATTGAAACAATTGGAAAATATATCAATAACAAATGTCCCAACAATCTAAGGTATAGGTCCAATTTTAATTCAATATTGTAGTAGCTGAATTCCGCTGTAGATTATCATATACCTAGCTGATGCAGGACTTAAATATAAATAAAAGATTAAAAGTATCATAACCTGCAACTGTCTACTAAGAGAAAGTTACTTTTTTTTGTGCTGCATTAATTTCTTGAGGAAGTTAATCGATAATGTGAATAAATGGGCCTTCTAGAAACTAAATATATTCTTTATTACAAACGGTAGCTGAACCTAGAACAAGTCACTCCACCGGTTCCCGATCGGTATTTTGAAAAAGGTAGTACTCGATGGAACCACAACGCCTTTCTTTCACTCAACGCTTTTAGGAATAAAAATAATACATTTACATATATTCCGCATTCTTACTGGAAAGTACATGCTCAGTTATTTTTTCCAAAACTTTCCGGTGACAACGCAAAAGCAACGCAAAGGAGTCAAAATCGGGATAAAATCGAGTTATTATCCGCCTACTTTTGGGGGGAAGAGAGCTTTAAACATATATTTTTGTTGTCTAAAGGTGTATATTGATCTAGCTCTATTAACTAATAAATACATCAAACTTCCCCTGAAAATGATACTGTCACGCAATTTGGTAATAATGATTGCCTCAGACAGATTAATCTTGACGTTTACGTTTAACATATTACGACTAATCGCCGGGTATTGAGATACAATTCTGATAGCTGCCACGTTCTGCATATAGTTGACCTAATAAGGAAATGTGATATATGATATTTTTTTCGAATCGCATGACTTTGAAGGAATATATACGTTAAGTGATGCCTGGCATTTGATTTGCATGTAAACTATGCCGAAGCTGGATAGATGTTGACTGATAAGAGAAAATCGTTTGCATCACAATAAGATATGGGGTGGTCTAAGTTAGTGGTGGCGGTTGCAGAGTAAAAGAGGTTTCCCACCTAGCTTTGAAATACTCAGAATCATTCAATTGCAATTTCCATCACATCATAGTTCTAATGGATACAATCTGTTTTCCCGAATGATTACTCCTAACATTCAGAATACAAGGGATAACAATTAAATCAAAAATTGAACTCTCATTATAATTGTGTATTTATTTGTTTTAGCTTTTGATTTTATTGTCAGTGCAATAGAGCAACACTTTTACACACATTTTTATACGGTTTTGTGACTCAGTGTGCCTTATGGTAGAGTTGAAGTAGGAAGTGCTGCGACCCTATGTTCATACTAAGGTATCATGAAATTGAATGTTCTGGACGGAAAATTCAAAATTGCCAAAATTGAGTTATTGAGTGGTAGTCAATGGTCATCTAAATTTAATAATATTTTTCGATTTATACCAACGCCATCAATTACTTACTGCGCTGCCAAAATTTCGTTGAGTTCTACAATATCGTTCAAAACGTATTTGTGAAAGGCTGACTTCCAGTAGCGTCATTTTTTCATATGAGCCTTTGGTATTTATTTTTCGTTGATGTGATGTCGTTAATATATAACAATCGTATCTAGCCTAACGGTCTCCCGGAATACGAATAAACAAAATATACTTGAAAAAGGACACCGTGATGACAAAAACGTTCTACAACAAACAAAAATTAAAACATATATGTAGGAGTCCTATTATTTTGGGTTTCTATATACGCACGAAAGATCGGCATATTAATCTGAGCAACCCTGTATGTTTTGTCTCTTAGTGCGTTTTATTGTGTATTCGAAGAAAACATGTTGCAGCCGTGCACACATCTAACAATAGTAAAGTTTATGTGCTGAAATATGTAGATTTTGAAGAAAAGTGCCAATATCGTGAAACTAGGATTTAACGAGCAACAAAGTACTAAAATTAGAAGAAAAATGTTAATGAAGATTTATCATAAAATGATATCTGCTGATAATCTGCTTCGACAGCCAGTTGGCAAAGCTGTACAAAACAAATTCGAGCCTTTACAATATCAGTCCCTATGATACTGCTCGTATAAATTCCATAGTAACAACATAAATAATATATGTACTTATATTTGTACAACCAGAAGCTATGCTTTGTAAAGTATCATAGATAACTGGCAACAATGTCAAATGTACCGACGATTGGTAGAATGTTTGAATTTCAAACAGGCATTTCTCTTCTGTTACTTAACTAAATCGTGTAATATTCTGCGCAGGGCACTAAAATTTAAATGCAATGACAGGATCATTGAAATGGTCCCAACGAAGAGCATCTTGGAAGTTTGTGATTTATAACTTAATAATAAATAGTTATTCTGAAAACCTGTAGGCTATCTCAAAGCTATTTAACTTCAAGTCCCTTCCCGAAATACTACACCATTTAATTCAGTATCTACAGAAAAATATCTGCTTGGAATTAATTTTTATAACCTCAAATTGCAGTCGTTGGAGTATTTGATATGGTTGCCAGTTATCTAGGTAGCCTGGTCTTGATATGTGCTTATTCGATCTATTTTGCTATAAGAAAGTATCTTTATAGCTATTTAATATTATATCTCTGTTTCAGGACAATGTTCCTGTACATATTGAGTTTATTCTTCTTGTTATCATGCACGGCGGCAGGACAATTCTCAGGAGGCTTCAATCTCATCTCAGCACCTCAAATCACATTTCCACATCATGCAGGGTTCGGTACGCCCAGGATTCTTCCAGGTAACTTCAATATGCTGAAGTTGTAATAAAATGTGAGGTTTCCATTTGAAAAATTGTTTTTGCTAGTCACGTTTTTGTGTTTATTTTTCTTTTCTAGTCATTCCGTATTCATGCATAATCATCAAAGGTTTAGTAGGTAGAAACAGACGAAATATACAGTGGTTTGTCTCTCCTGGCCAATGCATGTGGTAGGTGTTTATATATACTACGTGGAATTCAAAAACTGAGTAATACATCGTGTTGAAAAGTCTGGTTCACAAGATACACAATGTCAAATTTTCACAGTCAATTTGGTCTTTTTTTAATACCTCAAAGATCCTTGTACCGATTATGTTGATTATGGAAGGATTGTTCACTGCTATAAGACGTTAGACGTGAACTTAGTACTAACTAAATGATAATTATGGACTCCAGTGGCATCTCGGGGGCAGTCTCATGAACGATATTGACAAGAAAATGTATGCCGATGACTTTTTCGACAAATATATATTTTTCTCGGATTAAGCAGTTGGTAATCGAACTTTTTTCTTTCTTGATATCTCATTTTATGAGGAAAAAATGAAAACGACTTCAGTACATGTCAAAAAATTATTAAGATAAGATCAAATCCACTTTGATCATCGCAATTGAACGTTATTCTGGTATTATAGACATATAATGGACTTTCCGTGACAGTTTGCATATTTTCTCAGTCAAGAGCCATACTATTTTCAATCTTTTACAGCCTGCGTCTTGGAAACTAAACTTTTTCGGATATACGTTTATAAGAAATTTTCTATTCGAATTTTGTTCAGAGCTATGCCCTTCAAATTATGGTTTATCATTAAGTAACCAAGCAACCAAGTTGGTTTTTATTTCCTGCATAACCGCATATTTTATAAATTGCTAAATTGCTCTTGTAACTATCATATCACTCTGTCGATTCTCAATAATACAGGTGGATTATCTGGTCTTCTATGTAGTAGTGTTTCCAAGCAATCATCGTGATTGGTATTTCCAGGTACATCAAACGACGTTACTTTCACTCAACACCCACACAACTACGTTGATCAACATCCCGCCGTAGTGGAAAACAGCATTCGCGAGGCTGAGCTCCCACCCCATCTGCTCAACCCCTTCTACAAAAACCCCGCTATAGCCTCAGCGCTGGCGAAAGAATCCTGGTTCACCAACAAGGAATTCCCGGTTCATCACCGGGAAGCTGAGAGGATCCCCAGGGAAGAGATATTCAAGATAATTTCCAGGTTACAACACTAATTGTATTTCGATGAACATCTCTCTATATTAACCAATATTGAGATCCACATTTCAACTGATTCTATTATAGTAACCGAAAACAGCATTATTTCAAATTATGTAGAATATCGCAAACATGGGGGAATGTTGTTAAATCTTGAAGGGAGAGTAGCATAACACATCGTATGCCATTACCAGCGCGACGACAGGTTAGCAGTATTGTACAGGGAGTTACGCCGTTTTGGTACCAGACTATAGTCATTTTGAACGTCTATTGTAAATTCGCGATTTCTCTAATAGAATGTTGTTCTTACTATTTTCACCTTGTACCACCTAAATCAAGTCTTTTTCTTTAAAATTATCAGGGTGTGATCTTGGAATAGTCCAAAGAGACACCCCAAAAATTGATTCCCTATGTTTGTGTTATACCCTGTATATGAATAACCGAAATCGGTCTTAAGGCAACAATACGAATTTATAAGTTTTTAGCAATTGCCGGCCGAGAATGTAGTCAATATTTTGATAATGATGGAGGTATTGACTCTTTTCTATTTTTATAAACTACAAACACAAGACTATCCGAAGTTTGAAATAGGCAGACATTCTATAAATTAACTGTTTAATTGCAACTCACTAGACAAGAACAATTAATCTCTGGAAATCATATAAAACGGTCTACTTGATTATGAGCCGAATGGATGAATGCTGTATGTGGGAGCATTTATTGAAATTTTTGTTTAGCGATGTATCCGAATTTTTTAATGTTTAGGCAGAATACGTTCAGTAAAGTAAAACTTTACAATTTACAAAAATAAATTCAACTTTGGAAATCGAACAAAACATTTTATTTTGTTAGCTTTTACATTCATTAATTTTCTATGCAACTTCAAACCCGAATGGCATGGTATTACTTATACGGTAGTGCGTCATTCATAATATTATTTCAAAGTTGCAAAAGATTCAACCGTTTTATGGGATATATTCCTATGAACTTCAATGCGGTTATATAGAACCGACAGCTATTTGAATTGTTAGCTTTATTTATTTTACGCCAGTGGACATCAGACTGTAAATATTGTAAAGAATAAAGTAGATAATATTTAACTTTACAAGCTTTAATGAAAATGGTATGTATATATTATTTATATTGTTGGCTTTGTGTAAAATGGATTTTTGTTTATTTTTATACGTAGATAGATTTAGTTTCTAATTTTCATACATCCTAATAAATAGTTTTCCAGCCTCTTGTTTTTTTATTGTAAAATTATGTTATGTCTATCTGATTCTCCGCTGCACGCCGCTGAAGTATACCTTCACCTGGAGAGCTTCTACGTATTATCTATATTTTTAAAAATGAATCCCTATTTCCCGTGGTCACGTCATAACTTGAGAACGACTTTACCGATTTCATTCATCTTCTTTTTTAAGATTCCTAATACTGTACATAGAAGGTTCTTACGGAAAGAAAAATCAAGAAAATTGTGCAAAAAAATTGGGTAATCATTAAAACCCTAATGACTATTTGAACTAAGCGCGTTTGACAATTCCCTTGAGCATGGCGCACGCACAGCAGAAGAAATATCTCAAGTACCAGAAGAGGCACTTCTCTCCGCATTATTACTCATTCTAAACTTGACAGCTGGCACGCCGCAAATTTATATTGTCTTTTAACAATGTTTATGGATGAAAACATATTTTTTATTTAACTATTGTGTAGTGCGCAGTCCATTCGATCAGAACTTTTATCCAGTTTTCAGTTTGTCCAGTGATTTTTTTGAGTATTTGTTCAAAAATAATTAACCATGGTGGAAGTTAGTTCATCGCAATCACGCCTTACATTTGAATTGTAATTCTTCAAAATGCCACCAATTAGACGTACCAACCTAGGTCGAAGAACTTACAATGCTGCGAGTCAAATTTATATACGAAGAAGTCAAACTGACGAGCAACGAGACGCAAGAAATGAAGTTGAACGAGATCGAAGGACTGAAATATTCAACAACGTAGAAGTGTCGCATTTAATCCCAATTCACAACAAATCGTTGCTATTGGACTAATGAACGTTGTGTCCACGGTAATTCTCTAGCTTAACTACACCAACCGTTTTTGATGAAAAAATGATTTTAGATCCTGGTTTTTGGGTGTATATGAAACAAATGGGTCTGGAAATGAGCGCAAACAGAAAAGTTCTGAAATATTTTACTATACAATAGGTTTTTATTGAATGTTTGTCTTCAAAGACTGTGCGATGTTGCCAGATTTCATTATTTAATAGGGTTTCGTGTTGATGGATATTCTTAATAATTAAATTTGTACGTATGACTTCACATAACCCTGCATAATGCGCGCCGCGACTCAAAGGGGATCAAATTCTTCTAAATAGGAGAGCTGCTACGCGTGGAAATGAGTATTTTCGTTAATTTTCATATATTTCTCCAATTTGGCAACATCGCGGTATAAATATGATCCCTTACATTCTGCAAATGTCGTTATCAAGAACGTGTTTATACTTTTTGAAACCCAGATAATATCAGCAATATTCTGCAAGTAACCCATTTGCGGGCATCTTTAATCTCATATCCATCATTTACAACCCAAACTTGTGTCTATTCGGACCGAGAAGCAAAAAAGGCTGGTGTAGATAAGCTAGAAAATTACCGTGTCCACATTGCAAGGCTCTCAAATTTAAAAAGGAAGTCCCTGGATTATGTTGTGCCAGTGGAAAAGTCAAATTGACTCCATTGGTATCACAACCAGAGTCACTACATTTATTTGTTTCCGGAAATTGGCCAGATTCTATACATTGTTTTACTCATATCCAACAATACAGTAATTGCTTTCGAATGACGTCTTTTGGCGCAGCAAAAGTCATTCGACATAATTTCAGGCCTACTTTCAAGGTAAGTTGATGAGGAAATGGCAGTGCTGCCAACGTATTTTGCTAGCCACATGGTGGTACAAACACTTTGATACAAAAGTAAGCACTTTACATCACGCTTCAAGCGAGCAATATGACATGTGCATGTAAATACAACCCTGTCATTTTGCACTGTTATGTTTGAACTAATACTGTTAACACATGTAAAGGTTGCTTATTGCAAAAGACGTATCATCGTCTGGCAGATTGTCTGGCATCGGTCACCAACAATGTTCTATACGTCATTTTTTCCTCTCGTTATGTTACGGGGGTCGTTCAAATATGATCGAGACAAATGGTCTGGCACGTTTATTTACTAACGAAAAAAATTCTAGAATCTTGAAGTTTTTCTAGATACGTTGCCTCACTAGTTACGCATTTTGTCCACCTTTCCGGAAGCTTTTTGATGCTGGTATCGAATAATTCCTTGGGCAACTCTTACAGCCATGTGTGCACGAACTCTTCTAACTCGTCGTCGGTGTTGAAACTATGACCTCCGAGGGCTTGTTTCAGTGGTCCAAATATGTGGTAGTTTCAGGGTGATAAATCCGGACTATAGGGGGGGGGGTATTCCAGTACCTCCCACCCCAATATTGATCTTGTATCGAGCATGAGACGTGCAATATCAGGGCGCGCGTTATATTGGAAAAAACTCGCACTTCTTGCTGGAATGCTCCTCCGTTTCGAGCGATAAGCGGGTTTCACGTCTGTTTTCAGGTTAGAGTAGTATGCTACATTGATGGAACGTTGGGTGCCCAGGAAGTCGACGTACAGTAGGCTCATTCTCGACAGTTTCGCGGCCATCCTTGAATACTTTGGCCCATTTGAACACAGCAGCCCTACTCATGCACTACCGAACCGATTTCGAAAACGCAGGAAAATTTCCGTGATTTTAACGCCTTCCCACACTAAAAAACGAACGACGATACGTTGCGCAACGGCGGTCGGCCCTTGACCTTCACTCATAGTCGTTAGCACGCGCGTGGAACATGCACTCTCGACGAAAGCTGTGCCACACTGTTCGAAAGGGACCCAGCTATCACGTACTCAAGCCACGACCTTTAACTCATACATGCGCGCCATCTACAGCATGTCTCCATCATATCTGAACCGCCCTGTTATGTTATAGGTACCCCAATTATCTTTTTTTTTTCTAACTACTATCTTCCTGTACATGTCGAATGTGATCAAATGTTTAAAGGTTTCGGCCATAAAATATCAACAGTTTTACACTAATTTACAGCGTGATTGATGTGAATATTTGAAACCTTTTTTAGAATACGCAGGAAAATCTGACCTGAAATTGCAATAGTTAGCTATATCTTCCACACTTCAAATATGGATAAATCTATTTTCACAACCTGAAACTGATTATAGTCACAACCTTTCTGAAGAATGTTTAAAAAATACTAAGTGCTAGCATAGCTAAATTAGTCAAAACGTGCGTTTTTGCTAACCGGTCGTTGGTCTCCTCTAAATTAAGCAAAATGATGAGAAAATTATAAAAAATGTGCCTCTTGCTAAGCATTAAAAAATCAGTCACAGCTGAACCTATCCACCATTTAAAAGTTATATCATTTTTCTGAAAAAGATGGGAATGTTTCGCCATGTTTGATGCAGCACGTCACGTCACAACACGGAGTCACATTGATTAACATTGAAAGAAAAGCGGGTGTAACTCTGCCGGGATATGACAAGTTATTTTATCAATCCAATAATAACGTAAAATCATCCAAAGTGTCGATAACTGACTGAAGGCCAGCGACTGGGGTGTTCACCCTAATATACTAGTCATCATAAAGCTTGCATATAAACGATAGTGATGATAATGCTTTATTATCTGCAGTGAGGCGAAGTTTAGCCAGATGACTTCCACATAACTCCAAACCAGTGGAAAAGCAGTGGTAAACATACTTGTTTCAGCTAGCACTCTACACAATAGGAAGAAAAGTTTGAAGTTTGAATACACCTTGTATAACCACCTAATAAATCATAGCACTAAATCCTTTCTCCATAATAACTCTGATATCTAAAATAATCACTGGTTCTCAGAATATATTATTTCTGCAATATATAGATAATTCTGTAAAACCTTGAGTATTATTTGTAACTTCAAAGTAGAATCCTGCTTCGAGAATATGGGCAAATGAAATTGGTCGGGCAAATATTGGTTATAAGATGGCGGTGCATTGATAAACTGTTCAACCTTAATTAGCAGTCATATATTTCAATCACTTATTCCAACACTAGATAAGCCTTAATTTATTACGATTTTAAGGCGAATGTAATCTCAACCTCGTGTTCTGATGCGTATTACGATCTAATAAAGGGTACCTGCACTAGGGCACTTAAAATGACGAGGTGCCCCAAAAGTTGCAGCGATCTTCACATGAATATGCAGTTAAAATTTAACGTTTACGCAAAGCTCTTATTGTTATTCTGAGATATTCTGCTGTTATGTTAATTTCTCTAATCGATCATACGTCCAGAATGACGTATCTGGAGTGTGAGCCCCTGTTATACACCTTTTCTTATACCCTTTTTTGCATCTTTAGCAAAATGTAGAAGTCTATACCATCAATTTCACATGCCATATTTTTCCTGGCTTACAGATTACGCTAAAAATCACAAGTCACGTAGCACAAACCATAATCTATAGGACACAGAAGCAAGAAATGAAGCCCTCAATGTCAATAGCCTCAAAAGCTGCGTCAGTTGTTGACTACCATTTGATGTTGACGTCTCTCTGAATTTCACTGAGGGTCAATTCAGTCTTAGTCCATACCATACCCATACACATATGGTTTGGATAGATTCGAAACTAAAACTCAAATTCCATAAGAAAACTAAGTATTGCATGTAAAAAAATTAAAACTAAGGAACTTAAAAGTCACTAGAATTGTTGATTTTAGCGTTATAAATATTCGCACTTTGTAACATTGTGTTAGTTGTTCTCGAGTCCATTGTTTTAAACACGGATTAGAGAACTTTGTAGACTATAAAATTTGTAAAAGTTGTTCGTTGAAAATAGATTGTCCTTGTATCTGTCGCACCCGTCAGAAATAGAAAAAAACAAGTACCAAAAATGAAATTCTTGGTCTTTTTTACAAACTGTTAAGACATACCTGGAGTTCTGAAAGTTTTGACCTTCCTCGTCAGAAACTACATCGTACGAAATGACGAAGCTAGTTTGCAGTGAAACTCCTACAAACGTAAAAAATAAGTTGAATACAAATACTCACTCTTCTCGTTGTAAGGAATTTCGAATACTATCCTGACACTTGTTTTGTTTGTAAGTAGAGCTGTTAGTTGTCATTGTAGGT